GAAAGAATTCCAGCGACTGCTGTGGAACAAACGCAAGACTGATTTATGATGAAATCAAGATTAAATTCTCATGCTTCTTTCTCCTACCCACACAAAGCCCATCTGTTTTGGGAGGGAGGACAGTTCCCACTCATCTCTTGGTGTGCTAATAGCAGCAGCACCTGCAGGATCTTGCCGCTTTCATCAGAATGATGAAAGTCACATCTGACCACAAGCGTTGCCTCCTTGGGGCATGTTGATTGCATCACTCTGATCCCCCCTTTCCCACACTGTGGATGCTCCTAGTTAACAGACTGATCTGGTATCAGGCCGTTCACTTGTAGCAAACTGAAAAATGGCTCTCACAGGTATACCCACAGTTATACCCTATTTATTAGTATACGAAACCGTTTGTATTTTGAAATTTTAAACCATTTATAAAACAATTAAGGACTGTGACATATTCATTTTGCTAGAAAAGTTTGGCAATTATTTAATGGCATATGTCTACTTATATTTGAATGGTTCTTTTTAATAGTCACTCCTGTATATAGGCTTTCACCTGGAGGTATTTAAGATTATAGTTTTACTGTAAATTGTATAGACCCTAAAGATTTAACTTTCTTATAATACCATTGCATTTAATTGTTGGCAGATCCAAGAAGTACTGTTTTGTCTAGATCAGTTGACATATTTAGTGAAAGTTCAAACAGCATACAGATTGAATCTTCATCTGTTAGTAGCAGGTTGAGGGACAATTTGTTTCTGGAGTATAGGACAATAAGATCTGTGTATAGCAGATTTTCATAGCAGATTTTAACTAATATTTTAAGTGGAATATTTATTACACTAAAAAGTATATAAGATTATTATTGCTTCTACAGGAGATTCAATCTAGAGGAATCATAATCAAGTACTTCTCTAGAGTTGATATTTGCAGTTTCTAGACATAATTCAAAGTAATTGAAAGACTCTTGTTGGCTCCTGTAAAATATAAAACTAATAAACATCCATGGTATAATATGCAATAAAAATAAACTCACCAAACATAAGAATACAAACAATACAAACAGATGTTAAAGATGGCACAATAAAATCAGGGGACTTCTTGCTGAAAGAAGTCTTTGTCTTTAAAAGCTTCCTAATCCTCAACAAAGGCAGCCAGTTTGGTCTAGTGGCTAAGGCATCAGGCTAGAAACCAGGAGACTGTCTAGTTCTGCCTTAGGCACAAAGCCAGCTGAGTGGCTGGCCAGTCCCTCTCTCTCTGCCCTAGGAAGCAGGCAATGGCAAACCACTTCTGAAAAACCTTGCCAAGAAAACTGCAGGGACTCGTCCAGGCAGTCACCAGGAGTAAAAAAAAACTGACTCAAAGGCACAAATAGATTTCAACAAGGAGAGGGATAGTCTAATCTCAACCAGGAGGCTGTTCATAACCAGGAGACTGTCTAGTTCTGCCTTAGGCACAAAGCCAGCTGAGTGGCTGGCCAGTCCCTCTCTCTCTGCCCTAGGAAGCAGGCAATGGCAAACCACTTCTGAAAAACCTTGCCAAGAAAACTGCAGGGACTCGTCCAGGCAGTCACCAGGAGTAAAAAAAAACTGACTCAAAGGCACAAATAGATTTCAACAAGGAGAGGGATAGTCTAATCTCAACCAGGAGGCTGTTCATCAGCATTAACACTGCCACCAAACAACAGTACCTTCTCACCTCAGCCCCCTGAACCTCCCCAAAATATGGGATCAGTAATAGTTCATCCCTGTTTAACCTATTGGTCTGGCCAATACTGGTTGGAATAAATGGTTCTGCAGATAGATAATGCAGAGTACAAGTAGTCCTCACTTAGTGGCCAGAATTGGGTCTGGCAACCCCATACTAAGTGCTGTAGTCTCTAAGTGGAAAATCATGTGACTGCAACAGACTTATGATGTCACTTCCCATTTGGCCATTAAGCAAGACACCACATGACCACGACTTGCGATTTTACTTCTGCATTCTCCATTAACTCTGCTGATTGGAAGCTGGTTGTGAAGCACAAGAATAGTGATTTTGTGACCCTGGGATGCTGCAACGGTTGCAAATGCACACCAGTTATGAAATGTCCAAATGGCAATCACATGACCATGGGATGCTGCAACAGTTGTAAATGCAAGGACTGGTTGCAAAGGTGATTTTTTTTTTACACCATTTTAATTTTAACAGTCATTAAATGAGACAGTTGGTAAGCAAGGACTACCTTACATTACACTAGTTCAACTGGGTGGTGATGAGGCCATGAGTTACTATAGCTAGGCCCTCCTGCCCTAGGTATGGTTGCAACTGATATACCAGCTACGGCTGGGCATAAGCCCTTCTGGCCATGGCTTCTATCTACTGATCCAGCAGGAACTGTGAATCCAGAAGGACTTCCCAAGTCATTAACTTTTTCCCTGACAGGTAGTGCTTGCCCATCAAGGAACAAATCTAGTTGCAACAGACAACCCCAACATATCCACAGGAACTCTGACTTTCTAGGGTTCAGCTTTAGTCTGTTCTTTCCCATCCAGACTCTGACAACCTCCAGGTACTGACATTCACAGCATCCTCTCCATGGCCCAGGGTAGCGTTGTACAGTTGAGTAACAACAGGTTATTAATGATACTGAACCCTTAGCCATCAGATGACCCTCTTAGCTGCTTCACATAGATATTAAAAAGCAGGGAAGAGAGGACTGATCCCTGTGGCATCAGGGGCCACCAAACTGCCTTTCCCTCCCCCCCCCCCCCCCGCCACCAATTGGGACCATCCACCAAGGAAGGAGTAGAACCATTGTAAAACAACATCTCCTATCCTCAATAAAGCCAGAAGGGAAGTACCCCCTTCTTCCTTGTCTCAGCAAAAATCATCTATGAGAATACCCAATGCTGTCTCCATCCCAAACCCAGGCCTGAACCATGACTGGAATTATAAAGCGTATTGTGGTCAGTCATACAAAATGACTGCTGCCTGTTACAAAATGAACTGTCCATACTCACTAAATGCCCATAAGATAACATCATGAGAATATTCACTATCATTTTTATCTACCTAGGAATTCCTGAGTAACTCCAACTTACCATTGTCTTTTCTTCTTGGCAGCTAGACTTACTTTGAAATGAAGCATTGGATTCTATCTAACTATACAAATCTAATAATATTTTCTAAGACTCCACACAGGAGTTCAAAGTAATTCTTGAAAATCAAAAATAGTTATGGAATCTAATACATTTTGTAGTTTGCTTCTGCATGTCTAGATGGTTGAAACCAAGGAAGTCTGATTGATACTAGGAGAAACATCAGTGGGCACATCAGTATTCACAGGAATCATACTGGGGAACCCAGCTGCCATTTCATTCCCATTAGAATCAGTGTAGGGCCTTAGATGACTTCCCATCTTGTCTTTTTCCATTAATGAAATATGGATTAATTCACCCACAGGGCAATATAAGACCTGGCAAGAGAGCATGGGTAACATCACTCTGCTCTTTTGTGTAGGGAACAATGGATATACAAATGAAGATTTGGTCATGGAGCTTGTTTCATAAATAGCACTTTGAATTAAAAAAAGCACTTAACTTCCAGTGGAGTCCAAAAGAAAGAAATGAGAGCTGTATATGTATTCTTTTTTTAAAAAAGAATGCTTATAGTTTGCAAACAGAAATATGTATTGCCCAGAACTTAACTCCAGCAAGTAGAGTTGGAAGGCCAAGACTCATTGGACAGGTAAGTCATAGAAGTCATTGCACAGGTAACTTCAGTGGGGAAGAGGGCGTTCATCAGAGATGGCTCTTGCATTTCTTCCTCATGTACTATGAACAGTGTGCCAATGAAAAAAAAAATACATAGTCCCAAGTCTCCAATCCTAGTATGAAGAAACACTATTCTTTGTGGGTGAAGATTAATTGTACTTTTTAAGAGGTGAACCTTGAAACACAGACACTAGCAAAACCTCCATGATGAGAAGTTGAACTCTTTTTGAATGGATGAATGTCTATGTGATAGTTGAATGGATGAACTGTCTGAGTAGAGCATTCAGCATTGCTGAATGAAAGAATATTTATATGCTAGCATCCTGGTTAAGTTTTGCTCTTTAACCTGAGGTGGCCTGCTAATCAGTGAATCTCTGAGTTGCAGTTACCACTACCTCATACTATCCCCGTATGTCTTATTTTTTTGATAGACAACCATACAACAGTCACACAGATTTTTTTTTTCTCCACCTTATTGCCATGAAAACAAGGCTAGATTTACTGCAATCTAGTGGCAGTAAATCAGTAGAAAGCCAGCTATTCATCTCTGGGCTTTCCAGCTTTTTATTTTAGCATGTACCTTTGTTTTTCCAGAATACATGATTGTAGTGCACTGCAGCTTTACATGAAGAAATGATGGGGACAGCCACGCCTTATACTCTTATTCCAAGCAAACAGCCATGGATTGCACTGGCTCTCTAGAATCCCAAATTTGTTTGTTTGTTTTTGTTTAAAAACTACATAGCAATGGTTTGACTTGTGAGAGTTACATTTCATAAATTAGGTATGAGCAACCTGCAACATGAAGCCCATTCTTCTTTCTGATTTCAAAATGGCAGAGAGCTGTCATTTGGAAATGCAATTAGAGAGGGCCTTGAAGACCACCCAGAAACTGATTCTGGGTCAGCATGTAGCCCAGGAAAATGCAGATTGCCTATACCTACTATAAGGAAAAACAGTAGAATATGAGCTAGGAATTTTTTCTATATTGAAACGGACTGCAGACTACCTAATATTTTCTGTTGTGTAATCACAGTCTCTCTCTCTCTCTCTCTCTCTCTCAGCACATGCAGCTATTTATGTTAACAACAAGTCACTACAAACAGGAAACAACTGCAAACATTTTGAACAGATTGCCTAACGGGATCACTGTGGACCTTTTCTTCAAGAAGTTTTGACTGGGCAAAACCTTTCTTGATTGAAGCTGGACAGCCTGTCTGAACCAAATCTCCTCTGGCATTTTCATTTCCTCATTGCAAATGCCTAAGAACAGCAAAGTAGTAAAAAGAGAGATAGATGATGATGTCATCGAATCAGTTAAGGATCTCCTATCCAATGAAGATTCTGTTGAAGATGCTTTTAAAAAAAGTGAATTGTCAGTTAATGATTCAGAGGACAAAGATGTAGATGTGGAAGAGGGATCTGATGTAGAAGATGAGCGACCAGCCTGGAATAGCAAACTTCAATATATTCTGGCACAAGTTGGATTTTCTGTAGGCTTGGGAAATGTGTGGCGTTTTCCATACCTGTGTCAAAAAAATGGTGGAGGTAAGTCTGTCTGTTGTACTCATGGAGTTTACAATAGTATGGTTGAATATTACTGGTCTCTGTTATTTCTCATCTCACTCATTCAAACTGCTAATAAGTGAATCTTTTAAACATCCCCAAAACAGCTGCTGATAGTGTGAGACTGATAATTTTGAAGATTCAGACAGGAGCAAGTAAATTGTTTTTTGCTTTCTTCCTGTGCTACAAACGTAATGAAAATCTCACCTCTGTACTTGATATTACATGGTGAGAAAATGCCCCACTGGTGCCAATAGGAGTTTTCTCATCAATTGAAAGAGCAATTTCAGAAGAGCAATTTTCAGCAGAAACTCAGCAGTGGAATAAGTTAAACTCTCTTGTGTCCTTGCCTGCTGAACTACTGATAATAATCAGTCTATCCAATATCAGTTACTTGCATTTTTATTTTAAACATGTGCATGTTAAATAGTTGTGTGCAATGCATTACCTGATATGATCCCTGAATTTTTAATATATCTTTTTTACAGTTACATAATTTTTCTTTTAAATCACTAAAGGAAGAAAGTTGATTATATTTCAGAGGCTTTCATAGTTTATACTGTGAAGATAAAAAAATTACATGTTACATTTGTTGAAGTTGGTTGCATCTCTTGGTTCAGAGTGACTGAAACTGTAGGTTTGGATGGAGAGCCAGGCTGGTCTAGTGGTTAAGGCACCAGGCTAGAAACCAGGAGACTGTGAGTTCTAGTTCCAACTTAGGCATGAAAGCTGGCTGGGTGATTTGGGCCAGTCACTCTTTCTCACCCCAACTTACCTCACAGGGTTGTTGTTGTGGGGACAATAGGAGGAGAAAGGAGTATTGCTGCCTTGAGTAATTTATAAAAATAATAAAGGCAGGATAAACAATCTAAAAAAAAAAGTTCCCTCACAAGAAAATTACAAGAGCCCATTTCTATTTTTTCCATCTGGCCATTTAACTTAGAAACTCCATGAATTATATGATTTTATACGGGAACTCACAAATCAGGAGCATGAATAATACCCAGCAACAAGTGGGAAAGAAGTGAAAGAGCTAATTCACAAGCAGAATGGTATATATAATCTACCTTCCCTTAAGATCTCAGAGAGAAAGAGAAGTGGATATTACATTTTGTCATGTCCTCGTGTATGGGATCTTAATGACTTCCACCCTCCGTTCTTGAAGGGGCAGGGGGAGAATTTCTTTATTTTTATTCAGTGTATACCATGTCTGCTATTTTACTTATATAGACCACCAAGAGGCAGTGCATGACCAGTTTCATCCTATATTAGTACTAGTCAGATCTTATTCTGTTGGGTTCAAACCTTCTACTGGGGGGAATTGAAATTATAGACCATTGAACTTTAGATGACTATATATAGTGCATTAGCTTTAGGAATTATCCTGATCCTGGTGCTCAGTGGGGTTTCAGGAAGAGATATATAGAATCTATCAGAATGGCATATCCCATCAACCTTTACTTAAACTTGTGTGTGTGTGTGTGTGTGTGTGTGTGTAGAGACAGAGAAAGAGAAAGAGAAAGAGAGGTGGAAGTGATGTAAACATTATAGATGGGGCCATGAAATAATGTAACATCCATCTCTCTTTTTTGAAAACAAATCTATTTACTCAAAAGTCATATTCACTGTATTTATATAGAATTGTAGTATTAATTCTTTTGATAGAAGAACTGCTTGCTGATATGGATATATGCATATTAAGCTAACTCTGTGAATTCTTTACACCTATATGGAGCAAAGAAGGAAGTATCTGTGGTGACTCCAGTCCTGTATCAATTTCCAGAATGAGAGAGAGAGATTTTGAATTTGCAAGATCTTTGAAGAGTTAAAGTTATAAGCTTTGTTAAATATTTTAATTAAAATATTTTAATATTTTTTCAATATTATGTATTCTCCCCTCTCCCAAATACATGTCTGAATCTTTATAGTTGGCATTTATTCCACCATTATTTGAGTAAACATCCACACTGCAAATTATAGGCGATTTTTCCTGCAGTTGCAAAAAAGGCCATCAGTAGTTTCCTGCCGCTCTTCACAGTTACTGGATTTCTTGTAATTAATGAATTCTCTGACACTAAAGCTAGCAGGGATATTTACTGATAAGGTTGTTTGGCATGCAATGTAATTATCTTGTAATCACTGCATGCAAACTGCATAGGAAGAATTACATACTAATTTATAGAATACCGCATATCTTTTCCATGATATGTTTATTGGACAATTGATCTTAGAAAGTTTTGGTCATTCTCATCAACCTACCTTAAGCAAGAGTTGGGAGCAACATTGTTTTTTCCATGTTACAAACCGTTGGTGAAGGAATAGCACAGAACTTAAACATATTGCACCTACTACTGTCAAAAATGACATATTCATTTATATATCTATGGGAACATTTTTATCTTTCCATAAAAATTCAAGGTAACAAATTGTACATGCAGATTAAAGCAGTATATCCAAAGTAAATAAGTAACACTTCATACAAATCAAGAATGGCTCAAACAGAAGTTTCTTTTAAGCGACAGTATCTACAACTGATGGAGCTGGGTGGCTTTCCTACTCTAAATACTGTAACAGAAGAGAGAGAGAAAAAAATCTCTTCCCTTCCTGCTCATCTGCTGTACTTTTGAGCAAAATTGCAGAAGAAGAAAAATGTTACAGAACCGACTATCAGGCATTAGGCAGGAACGAATGATTATTTTTGTTTAAGATCCTAAAGTTAATCACAATACAGCAACATTAGGTTTCCTTTGGAATTATATAAAAGATGTTCATCTGTGATTTAGTGTCATAATATTGCTTGGACTTTGTTCTAAAGATTCTTCAGTATATTAACATTGCTCATCACCTTCTGTTTGACAGGTGCCTATCTTGTGCCATATTTAATCTTGCTGCTGATCATAGGAATACCACTTTTTTTCCTGGAGCTTTCAGTGGGTCAAAGAATCCGTCGTGGGAGCATTGGAGTATGGAATTACATCAGCCCCAAGCTTGGTGGAATTGGATTTGCAAGCTGTATAGTAAGTAACTGCGCATTACATGCTTCCCAAATGTTCAGTTTTCTTGCTATCTTAAAGATGTCAGCTTGTAATATCAGTTCTAACATAGTTGAATTATTCAAAGAAATGATGAGATCCATTCCTGGGGTGTGTCTAAGCAGAAGCTAGATTGCTGCTATCTGTTTGGGACAATTTAATTTGGATTCCTACACAAACCAGAGGGTTGGACCCAATGGCCTGAATGGCCCCTTTACGTCTCTGTGATTCTATAAAAGGTAAGATAAAAATCAATCAAATAAAGACATACTGAAATCTAAAACTTAATTTCTTTTTAGCAAGTAGGAGAAAATCATTATCCTTTCTGGGGAGTCTGGTATCTTCTCCAAAGCTTCAGCAGTGCAGAGATGGTGATGCCCTATGCAGAGTACTCTCTTCTCCGTATTGCTGAGCCGTATGAAAGAAGCAGAATCTGTAGCCGCGTGTCCCCCACCGTTCTTGTCCTAAGAAATGGAATAGGAGGCAATCACTTTTAACTACATTTAAGTTGTTCTGTTGTTCAAGACCTATCAATAATTACAAGATGAGCTAACCCTGAACTAAGCCTGTAATGCCATATACTGGTCACCTGGTAGCTAGTGCCAGAGGTATATTGTACTACAGCAACAATGATAAAGATGTTGTACATGTTTTGTCACCTGGTGTTTTTGGGCCAGGAGGCATAATTTTTGCTGTTTCTCATTATTTGAATCCCCAGCAAGCCACAGAAGGTAGTAGGTTAATAAAATGATATCCACAGAATATATAGAACTAAAATTATCAAAGTGCTAAGGGCTCTGAGATACATATATGTGTGTTCATTTTACATACTCTGTGTGTGTGTGTACGTACATACACATACATACATGTTATGTATACACACGCGCACACACACATGCACACTACAGACAAAAATTGCTTACATTTAAAAATATGTCACCAAAAATATGTCACCAAAAATCATAACGGTATTGAAAGGTTTTGGTGAAATGATCTGAGGAATTCCCAGAATCATAAAACAGGGTTCAAGCCATATATAGTACATGAGGCACTGTTGCCAGCTCTTTGAGAAAGAAACCAGTTTGCCCTTGCACTGTACTGGATCTCTTGCTTCATCAAGTCTATGGATGATTCAGTCAGAGTACAGGGCTAGATGTGCCAAAGAGCAGGAAGAAATGTCATGTTCTAGGCAATACCTTGAGTCACACAGAACATAGATGAAGAAAGGAATCTATATGGGGACAATGCAATACAATTTCAACATTTGCAGCTGTATCAGAACATAGGATTACTGTTGCATTAACTTAAAAAATAGATTCCCTAAAACAGTAGCACCTATATTTCAGGCTTGGGCAGAAACCTGAAAAAATTGGTCTATGTTGATGAATAACAGAAGAATTAAGGGTACCACAACTAGACTGCAAGGATCCAGGTAAACGTTAGATAGCAGCCAAGAGTTAGTTTTCTGGGTTTATTTGCTGCCCATTAGTGGCAATCGGGAGTTTTACAACCAGATATTTTATTTATTAAATTTGTATACCACCATAATCTCCAAGGATTATGGCAATTAATAGTACAATAAAAACTGTACAGTACAACAATAAATAGCAATGATTATGATAAATAATAGTAAAATAAAAATCAGAATAGAGGAGCAGCAATAACAATAGCAAAACAAAATAAGAAATCTCTAGATCAGGGTTCCTCAACCTTGGCGGACTGGCTGGGGAATTCTGGGAGCTGAAGTCCACCCATCTTAAAGTTGCCAAGGTTGAGGAACCCTGTTCTAGATGACAGTATTCCTGGAGACTTCCTGTGAGTGCCATGGCGAGCTGACATCCTGCTGGTTAGCAGGACAGCATTTGAGAGGAAAATTGTGGCTAGGTGATGGATCTGGACTGGTGAAATCTCTCTGGAAGAAGGAGAGATCGTTAAGATTATCCATGTGACTCCAGACAGCTGTTCCTCATGAGTAGATTGCAGAAACTGCTGTTCTGTGGTTGGCTTATGAGTGGAGTGGCTGGGAGTCAGGATCCGTAAAGCTCACACTCACAAAGCAGCCTTTATGATTGTTAAGCTGAACTGAACCTCATTTCTTAATCACTTTTTGAATTATTATTATTATTATTATTATTATTATTATTATTATTATTATTA